TAAGTGGGAGCAGTAAGGGAGATGGAGACATTGGAAAATTGATTGAGAAAAGAGAGGGTCAGTGGGAAAGATACAGTAAGAAAACAACCTTTAACCAACCTGAAAATCTCTAGGATATTCAGTATGTCCTAGAGGTGCAGATTTGCTCACAGAAAGACTAGAGCCACTGCCCCTGAAGAGCAGGTGCCTGCATCGCTCCTGCTACCTTGAGAACAGCCTTTCCCCATTAGAGTGGTGTATTTCAGCACGATCCCTCTGGCACCCCTGCTGCCATTCCTCCCTCGGGCTTCGCAGCAGTGACTGGCATCTCCTTGACTTAGTTTCTCCTCAGATAAAGTGAACTGTGAGCGGAAATACCAAGAAAAGAAGAAAGCAGAAGGAGCAAGCAATGAGAGATTATGGCAAGAGATAACAGGAACCTTCTGAAAAAGAGATCAAAATATAAGTGATGAGAAAAGAGACTGGGAATGCTAATTAGGAAATAATCATAGAGAAGTGAGATTTCTTTCAGAGATATTTATAGCAGTACAGAAGTACAGGGCCGCAAAGCAACAGTGGGGTAAGGACTGTAGGATGCATCACTCTACAAGGAAGCAAGAAGGAAAGATTGCGAGGAGACCCAGGGAGCATGTGGACAAGCAATGAGAAAGGCATTTGGTGAATTAATGAGCTACAAGGAGATTAGGGAGAAAAATAATGTAAAATAAAAAAAAAAAAAAGGAAGGAAATTTCACACAACTGATTTCTGATTTAACATTAGCCCAGTATTATATGGACCTTGCAGCACAGCAGTTCTTTTGGTCCTGGAGCACAGCTGTCATAGAACAGAAAAGAACAGGATGCGATAAAACAGAAGAGAAGAAAGAAAATTCACAGTTCAAACTACGACTGACATGCAGGTAGGGAAAAAGGAATTGCCCAGACTGGTATCTGACTAGTGCACACCGTGACTGAGCCCAGTGGGCACACGGTGTTTGTATGAGCAGCCATGTATCAGAGAACCTTGCATTAGAAAGGTCTGTGGAATCTGTAACCTCTCCTCCAGCCCCCACCAGCCCCTCTGTGCCTCCTCAGCCTGCTCTTGGGTTCCTGACTGTGGGCTTGGGCAATGAACTGTGCTAAATCTTGTTGTTAAAGGGAGCAGGCAAGCATACATCCCCTACCAGCACTGCCAGAGCTGCACCAGCCAAACAGCACACGTGTCTGATGGCATCCTGCTGCTGTGGTTTGCAGTGGCATCTTAGACCAAAACAGCCTTCACCTCACTAGGGCTGTGAATTGCCACATTCAAGCCAATGACACGGCTCTCCTGTGATGCCTTTGCTATGGGGATAGCAATGTCTTTGATTGCATGGCACGATCCAGCCAGGCTCGGCTGGGGGGCAGTTTCCTACACAGTGAATCTTTGCTGAGGCTGCACCACTCCACCACTACTGGTGGAGAAAACCACCAGGGACTGCAGGTGGCACAGGGACAGGGACAGCTCCGGCAGGGCTGGCTGACAAAGGTCAAAGAGGAGGCAGTGAGGAAACTACGGCGATTGGGAGAAAACAGTAGAAAATATTCCTGTCCTCTCCTGGCTTTTCTGGTTTTGTTTTCCACCTTTCTCCTTCATGAGGGCAGTTTTCTCAGGTCCCCCATTCCTTCAAATTACTTCCATCAATAAAACAAGTGGAAGCATCTGCTATACCAACTGAAAGGATGTAGCATGCACAATGCCCACAAAAGCCCTTATCTCCCATTCCCCACTGCAGGCAGCATCCTGTGATTGCTGGACTGGCCAACAAGGCTGTTGTGATTCATAAACACCATCTTTCAGAGGGAGCCTGCTCAAATGGTTGAGCTACTAGACTGGGACTCAGGAGAACACATTTAATTCCTGTCTTGCCTCAGGTCTCCTGGCAAACTGGGGCACATCCCTACCTCAATTCCCAATCTGTAAAATAGGGATAAAAACATATCCTCTGTCTATTCAAGGCATGTCTTTTCTCCTTTCTTCATACAGCACCTTGCATCACGGGACCACCAATTGCAAGAAGGGCCCTCAGTAAAGTTCAAACAATAGAGATAATATGTCCTAAATGGAATTCTTTGAGGAAAAAGAGGGCTTAATTGTACCAAGATTTCAAAAACTATGTATGCACAAAATGCTTTTAAAAATAATTGTGTTTATTTTTAATCTTATTTGCCAGTCTTATCTTTCAAGCAGTCAGAGATAGCACCAATATAATCTGGCAAAAGCAACAGTAATTTAATGGAAGGAGTAGATAAAGTGTCCAGATGCATGTCCAGCATGTAAATTGAAGGAATTGCTTTATTGTACTTGCCAGATTTAGTGAAGAAAAGTGCAAAATATTTTAATGAGACAATTGTTAAAACTTGGAGAGTTGGTATGTCTCCTGCATGGCTCGAAAAATCAAAGGACACAGAAGGTAAAGATCCATATTATTCCAAAGTAATATAGTGACAGGGAGACTTGGGCTAATAAACACTCTGAACTAAGAATGACGTGAGCACCATAAACAAGTCATTGTCCAGAGAGCGCTCCCAAAGTTCGTAAGGCGTATTCTAAATCAAGAAGCTCATAAAAAGTGCTGATAGACAATTCCACAGGGAGAGACAGATCAAGAGGTGCCTGTGGAGCCACCATAAATACAGCTGCTATGGATAGATCAGAAACAAACCACCACCATGCACAGTTCAAAACCAAGTGCATTAAATGAAAGACTTAGTTGGGCAAGGAGTCCAAAAGTAAGATCAGACATATGGGAGCTGGCATTTATTTCTTGTTCTGCTGTCTGACCTTGGAGAAGTTATTTTGGGCTTAGACCTGAAAAGTACTGACCAGTCTGTTCCTGAACTAACAAAGCCTTTAGAAACATGCCCTGGCAATACCGTTGTTTCTTGCAGGCACGGAGAAGGTGCTTCTCACCCCAGGACAGAGCCTGCCAAAGTACTCTGTTATGAATTGTAAGGTCAGCATCTGTTCTCAAAGCTGTATTCGCACTGGCTGTGAATCACACCATCAGTGTGGGTAGGCACCGACTGACCACACTCAGATCTCAATCTGCATGCACAGCGCTGAAATACTGGAAGGGGACCAGACTTCTACAAAATCCCTCTGCCAGCTTCTTTTCTGTCTCTCTGCATTCAGCTCGATGGTCTCCTATCCCAGCTCCTGGCCCCTTTCAAGAGCTTGCAAGTATCCGCTGTATGCAGAGGGTTGGTTGGAGCATCTCTCTGCATATGTGACTGTGAGCGTTCCTCCTTTCACCAGGAACGCTGCAGGAGCTAGCGGTCCCTCAGGCCCCAATCATATGGCCTCTTCCAGACTTCAGCAGACCCCACCTACAACACATCCCCATGAAACCCTCACCCCTATTCATCTCTCAAAGTCCCATGGAAAGAAACACACATCAAAGCACAGTTAAGCTCAGGCTGTACGTTTTGTGGACTGGATTCCTCTCTGACTCATATCAATTCTACTGCAGGATAACACTATTGATTTTAGTGGAGGTACGGCTGATTTACACAAGGTTGAATAAGAGGAGAGCACTGGTGACCCCTGTAAGATGGGGATAATAATCTTTACCTACAACCCAAGGGAAATGTGAGAGTTAATTAATTAGTATTGTAAATCTCTGTGAGATTCTAGCAGTCTATAAATGAATTCGAATGGCACCAGAGAGAGGGCATAAAATTGTTCTTACAAAAGTTAAAAATACAGACAAGGAGGAACAAGTTGGGTACAGATCCAAACATTCAAACATTCAGCAGTGTGAGTGCATTTCAAGCCCCATTCCAGTAAAAGGGTTTGAGAAACATATGAGACATAGGATGCTTTCCCTCCTGAAAGCAAGATTCCCTCACATTTTCTTTAAAAGAAGTTGCTGTCAATACAGCCCAAAGAAGTTCACAAAAAGGCCTGTTTTAAGTTTAGTCAATTAAAGATGCGAGGAAAAGAACTTTAGACATCATTGACCCAGATATTCTGTGGCATTTATATTCATAAAAGAAAGAATATGGACACAATGAATTGCAAGAAAAATTCCCAATACAGATGGTTAACTTGCCGTTCTGCCCTTCAATAGTGCAAAAGTCGGAAAGGTGATGGAGTCAGATGTAGAGGGCTATTCCCTGATCAAGGGAGGAAAGTGAGCTATTTAATAATAATGAGAAAGGAAAGGAGAATTTTTTTAAGCTGTTGGATTGTCAGAATGATGCTTCAATGAAGCAGTATCTCCCAAAGGCTGTGCTCTGCGCAGACAACGAAGCCCATTTCTGAAACCTTAGGAAGACTTTAGGAAGACAGTTTATTTGCACGCCCAAATATTTTACAGTGAGCACACACATGGTTTGCACTGGACCATTTGGATTAGCTACTCCTTCTTCTACATAAGTATGTAAGGACTCCAAGTGGAATGAAGCTCTGTTTTTATTGTGCTACACACAAACAAATGGCACAAAGACCAAAAGCTTAGAGTGTTCTTCTCCCAAGAGACTGGCAATGTGTTCAGTCACGCTCTGCAGTCTGTTTCTCTCCACTGATCATACAGAAAGCCCTGGGAGACTTGCTGAATGACTTGACGAGCCAAATTAGGTCCCTACAATGGGGCTTTACAGTCTATTCCATGTCCTTAAGAGGTCATGTTTGAAAATATTACCTGAAAATTAGTCAGAGGCCTAAAAAGGCTAATAAAATCTGACCTGCTGCATTCCTTAGGTAGTGGCTTGCTGGTTTTTTGTTTGTTTTTTTTTTTATTTGGGTTGGTTTGATTGGGTTTTTGTTTGTTTTTTAACTCTTATCACCTGCTATTCCCCAAAGCCGGCAGGAAGCCAGGTAACAATTTTAAGTGCACCTGTATAAATTCAAAGCTAGCAAATGCACCTGTATAAATTCAGAGCTGGGAAATCAGCAGAGTTCCTCTTCATTTAGGCAATTCCATGGTCTCCATCTGTCTTAAGTAAATCTGAAGAAGCAAAATAAAATGCCTGTCTACAAGCTGTCATCATCAAACCAATGACTAACTCCGAGGAGGCTGGCTGAAGCTCATCCTTCGCGTTGAGGCCTACGTAGTCTAGAATGACTGTGTCATCTAAAGATGGTGAGTCAAGACAGCTGTAGATCCAAATAACAAACTAGGGAAAGCATTGCCAGCGTAATTTGCAGCATCATGCTTTTGCTGTCAGTTTTGAATATATTTCCCACCGTAGAGTATGCTTTTTCCCTCTGAAGAGGTCTGTGGCTTCTTTCACCTTGATGTTCCATTACTGCCTATTTGTAGCTAAGAGCTCTGTGAATACAATTACAAATGTAAGGGGGTTGCTTCTACGGACATCTATCTGTTCTGTAACTAATAGCTTCCTAAACTTCACAAGTGACCTGGCCAATGTGGCCATGCTCCCTTATATACATGCAAAACCTTTGTTCGTGAGGCATTTTAATAATTTCTGTGTTGTAAAGAACCATTTTTGGATGTATGGTACTCAGGCAGTGTAAAAAACCACCCTGAGCAGCAGCTGAAAGCATCAGCATTTTTCAGCTGCCTTCTGCTATACCAGGTATAACCCAGGAGAAAAAACAAGCAAACCATGTGATAGCTGGAGGTTTTCTTTGAAACAAATAAGTTCAAAAGATTTTTGTAACCAACAAAAGAGTACATTATTTATTAGCACGCAGCCCCTCAGCTAGAGACTACACCTGGACCCTAACCCCAAAATCCCAATGATCTGTGTGTTTCTTCTACCTTAAGAATGAAATCCATTTGCAAAGCAGCACGAGGAAGCTTCTCTGATGGCGGTCTGTGTAAGTGATCGCATGGACCAGGCTGGGCTCTGGCCTGTGAGTCAGGCAACCTTCCCTCTTCTCCCTGCCTGGGGATCTGAACCTGAGTGTGTAAGGAGTCCTCTTGATGGCCTATATAGATAGAAAAACATTTCTTCTTAGGTACAGCACCTAACATGACTGCAAACCAAAAGCTGGGGTTTAATATAATGTACCTCTTACAAATAGATATTCAGTTTCCAAGGCTATCTGATCTTCCTAATGACATGCTAGGGACACTGATGAATTAAAATAAAAATGAGATAACAGATACAAAACTGTTGCAAAGATGTTTAAAAGTGGAATAATGTCTCAAGCTAACAGAGGCCCTTCTTAATAAACTCTACTGCTGTGGTAGTGAAAGTGTACCTATATATGTCAAATACTGCTTCTTCTCCTTACATGTGTTGTATTCAATGTTTAGGCTTTGTGAAGGTCCAGACGCTGAAAATTTCTGTGGTGGCTCCTGGTACCTCAGTTTCCTCATCTATAATATGTCGGCACATTATTGTTTCTTACACAGCAATAGTGCCTAGAGGCCAACCAGCTCAGCATCCCGTTGTGCTTTGGTAAGATACGGAAAATTACAGTCTCTGCCCCAGAGCTTAAAATTGTTTATCTTCATTATAGACCTCTTATGGAGCTTAACACTTCTGAAGTGCTTAGAAAGCCTGCAGTGAAAGGTGGGTTATAAATGCAAGGAGTAGTGCCAATGATAATAGATTTTTTTGATTGAGGTAAAATCACAAACAAATATACAGTGTGGTGCATTAAAAGTAAAGAAAAAAAAAACCACAAGGATTTAGTAATCGGCTATCATCAAACTAAAGAAAAATATCTCTGTCACAAAAGAGTGTGGCTAGAAAGTGATGGGTGGACTTCAGTTCAAAAGTTCAATTATACAATTTCAGATTCAAAGGAAACTTCAGCTCAGCTATTGCCTGGCGATACGATTACTGAAACCTTGAAGGAATGAAATTGAGTTTGAACTGAGTGTAGGAGCAGTAATTTACCAGGTGGAGTATTCAGAAAACATTAACCCTGTAAATGCCACTGGCAAGGTAGAATTGATTAATGTAACAGTGGCTTATTTCTAAAGATATCAGCCAATTTCTAACTTATAACATAGAAAAAGTATCTTTTCAACTTAATCATTGCTCAGACACAGGAGTGAATTCCATACAAAGCCTAAGGAAAATTTCTCCATCTTGAATATTTGACAGAAGAATTGCTGTCCCAATCTAGTCAGAGGACCATCTAATCCTGGATCCCCAGTGACAGTAAACAACATCACCCAGTTTGGGGAAGAATAAGAAATCTTTTAATAGTTTTGATGTGATAACCTGCCCCAGTGAATTCCCTTCTTATACAGATTATAAATCAATTTATGCTCCAAGTTACCAAGTTCTTGGTATTTTCAAAAAGTCTTTTTTTTTTTTTTAAACTACTTTTGTTGAGAGCTAAAATGCAATTTTTGCTGTGATACTTATGGGTAGTCTTCCTGTCCACCTTGGTAACATCATTCCTTGATATTTAACAGTGTCTGTCTTCATATAAGCACATGATTAAAATGCTGATGATTTCAGTTTGCTTTTACATGGTAACTTTGAACCTGTGATGTTAAAAACCTCTTAATTAGTATCAGTTCTATCCTTGAAGAGCTATCAAAGCTAGAGCAGATGATTCCAATAATCTAGTCCAACATCCCCCTTAAGATACTGTACAGCATTTTAACCTGCAAGTCTAGTACCCAACCCTGTAAGTCATGCCTGAACCAAGGATATACTTCAGAAAAAGATCCATCCAGTCAAGAGTCGGTCCTAGCCTCTTATCCCCAACAGTATCAAGACAGTAGATTGAGATTGGATACAAGGAAGACAACTTTCACGATGAGGGCAGTGAGACACTGGAACCGGTTTCCCAGAGAAGTTGTGGATGCCCCATCGTTGGAAGTGTTCAAGGTCAGGTTGGATGGGGTTTTGAGCAATCTGGTCTAGTGAAAGATGCCTCCGCCCATGGCAGGGAGGGTTAACAAGATGATTTTTAAAAGGTCCCTTCCAACCCAAACCATTCAACACAGAAAAAGCTGAGTCTGAATTTTTGAGATACTTTACACAATTCCAGTACCCTGTGCAGGTGCTGAAATTCCATGTTTAAGTCCCACTTTGGAGTCCCACCACAGTAGTTTGTAAAAAGGAAATTTCAGAATCGATTCTGCTTTGCACAGGATGTACAGGAGCCCCATTTCAGAAGCAGCAGCTGGAAACCAGGCAGGACATACTGTGGTCTCCTAAAGTGTCATTATATGTTCTGGTTAGCTAGCTGAATCAAGCTGCTATGCAGTGCAGTCAGTGAAGTCTAAAAAGACATTTAAATGCCCAGCCCCTGGGCCACTCAAGCATAAACATTGTATGCTATTTCATACACTGTCAAGTGTCCTCCCTGGGGTCCACCTGCCACTCCAGAAGGACATGGGTGTCCTGTAGATTGCATCACATCCATCAGCCTGTGCAGTAGCTGTGGATGCTGTAGGGCATCTCAGATGGCATCAAGGTACCTCATGCAAGGCAACCAGCTCCATAGGTCAAGATTCAAGTACAATGTGTGATCAAACTGTAAAGGGCAACAGGTCTGCCTGACCACTGACCAAGTCTGTGTTTTCATGGGCATTAAGATTTAGCTCTGCCAAAATGAAGAGATAACACATGGCTGTTCCTGTGGGAAGTAGCTGGATGACCCCTTGAAGATGACAGCTTGGAGCAATGACCACACCTTTGATGCCAGAGGAACTGCCAACGCAAATAAATCCTGGACTGTTGGCGAACATGGCACTCAAGGAGAAAAGCTCTTAATCTCACTAGACAGCTGGGATAAACATTTATAAAGGAAACATTTTCAAAAGACTAGGCAGATTATAAAGGCACCAGGAGTCACTGAAATCTTGTTAAACATTGTTCACTGCATTACTTTAGATTTTAGTTTGAACTTACACTGTCAGATAAATTCCATTTATCTCCTGAATGCTTTTCTCACCGTGAGTGTTTGTTGCTATGAATTCACACCTTCAGTGAAGATTTACATTTAGTCCTTGATCGAGACAAAGATAATGCTCAACTTCAATCATTCTGAGGCGCCGTTTTTTTTCCCTTAACTGGGTCAGTGTTTCTTAGTGTGACACTGAAAACACAGGTTATGGTGTTCAACTGTTTCTGTAGGAAAGAAGGATGGTCTTACAGGTAAGGAACTGAATTAGTCCCCAGAGAGAAAGTCTCCCTCAAACACTTCCACAGGCTCGAGCCTGACCTTGGAAAAACCACGTTAGTCCCCCTGTGCATCTGTAAAATCAGGAAATAAATGCTTTCTCTTCCCCTTCTGCTGACCTTGCCTTCTGCTACACACAAGACCAAACACACTGGGACAAATTTTAATGAAGGTTTCTGGTCATTCTTTCAACATAGTCAGTGATGAATCATCAACATCATGGTAAATTTGGTGATTTAACCAATGCAATTGTTTCACCGTAACTCAGAAAGATGAAGACTTAAACAATATTTTTGGAAGAGACGTAGCATAATTCCCTCGAGCACTCCCACACTTCCATTTGCTATCCTATCTCACTTGTCATTAATTACAAACTAATGAGTGCCATTTTCTGTTCTGCATTGATACTTTACTTTCTCTTCCTGTGGGGCTATCAACCAGCACTGAAGGACGTGTCCAGACTGAAAGCATTTGTCTATGCCATCTCATGAAGCTCAACATTTCAGATAAAACAAGACTTTAATATAAAATAACCCCTCTTTCCAAAAACTAATTTCACTGATAATCCCTTCAGTTTGGCTCAGTCTGCACTAGAAATTAATTTTGCCCGTACTCTTACTTGGATGGCGGTAAGAATAACCACATGGCCTCTGATATTTCCCATTGCCCTCTGTACTTTTTCCTGATTTGCTAACATCATATTTTGAACCGAATTATCCCTAAGCAACTCGGTTTTCTTTCCTGCATATTTTGCCTCCTTTGCAATACAGAGATGATTCTGATCCAAGTTCCTTGTTCTAAACTGTGATTGAAGCAATAGAGTGATTAATACTAATAAATCTTCAGCATTGCCTCTATGTTTTTAATGACTAAGTCTACAATACTTAGCTGTGCTACTAAATCTATACTTTTAAATTGTTACGCTAGTTGCTGGCATGGTTTTGACTTGGGCTAACGAGTTCAAGTAACTCCTAGGGACAGGGAAGGCATTGCATGATTCAGGACCCCATCCTGGCAGGCTGTTTGGACACAGTGAGCTTATTTTGGGTGGTTAGAAAGTTTGCTAGTGCAGCCATGGTCTGTTCTGTGCTACCTGGCTGCCAGGCCGCAAAATGGTGCTGGGTGCGTTTACCAGCATACACAGCCCGCAGAGAGCGTCAAGGGAGGAACGGAGAGTGTGTCTGAAAAGGCAGAATTAGATAAAGGTCACTAAAATGCACTGTGGATGTAGGGTGGGCTGCAGACCCATAGACTGTATGCTCTGTGACCTGATGACAGAGAAAGAGCAAAGATGATATCTTGCTACCTTTTTACTACTTGGAGTGAAGGGAGGTGAGTGGGGATGTGAATGACCTCAAGGGCAATCTAAAATAGTCCCATGACTTCCTGGACGATCAGGGCTCCTTGTAACCTGCTTAGCAGCCCCACATCTTCATGGACTCTGGACCTTAGAGCCAGTCCTGAGAGGGAGGGAAGCGTTAGCACCTCCTGTTCCTGCACTAGAATTCCTCATTGCCCATTTTGTGGCTCAATGAAAGATGCCAAAGGGTTTCTAGGGCTCAGAAAACAGACTCTTCCTTAATGCCAACATGGAGTAGGTAGTTTTTATAGAAGTCAGAAAGCTTTTCCATGTTAAAAAAAAAAAGAAAATGAGAATATCCCAGAAGCTAAAAGTGATTGAAAACTCAGTGTCATAAATTCCCTTCCCAGCAGCAGACATACTGAAGTTATTGGTAAAAGCATTAATTAATCACACAACTTTAAAGATTTGTGTCACTGTCAGTAATAAAATAAATACAGGACAGTTCAGTCAGACTATTCCTGAATATTGGATGTGTTATTACAATAATTAAGATGAATAGTGATTACCTGTCTTGTTTGTTGATACTTTCTTGGGCAGATAACCATAGCTACATTAAATGACATTCTAAACATATGTTTGGAGCATCATTCACTGATGCATTAACCCCTTTTATACAGCAGGCATAAACCACAGATATTAAGAGCCAATGTGCAATAATCAACTTGAGCTCCAAGGAACAGCGGTGGGAAATAAACTGTTTGCAAACTACAGAGTGAAATTCAATCCACCCATGTTTCGCCTTTATCACTCATCCATGAACATGAGATCATTATTTACCCAAATTCTGAAATGTTGGTCGTCTTTGTAAAAATACAGCATATTGATAGAAGTGTGGTTAGGCACATACAGGCTGAGTAGGGTTAGTATCTGGCAGTGGAAAAGATCAGAGACAAGAAGATAAAATGACAACAGTTTATGTTTCCCCTAGGAAAGAGGGAAATTACTGGATTGGAGTCAATTTGAACAAAAATGGACTTTCTCTGTAAGCTGGAGAACAAATGTCCCAATTAATTATTTCCAATTACTCTAGTCAGTGCGTCTTTCCATAACCAAGAATCACTTCAGAAAACTGGCAATATTTGGCACTTCAAAGGATTAGCCTCTACCTCCCATTACTTCAGGATATCAGTTTGACCTCCCTGTCATCTTGCCTCCTCCCGGGCTGCTCTTGTCCTCTTTCTTACTCCTGCAGCAATAAGTGGTTTACCGGCATCAATAGTGATCAAATATCAGCCGTTTCTCTAGGTGTCTTTGCACCCCAATTCCCATCAAAAGATAGCAATGAGTATACGGTAATTCCTTCTGCTTGTATAGAAATTCCATCCCAAATTCTTCAGTAACATTGTTCTGTGTTCTTGACAGCCACTTATTTCCACTGCAAAGGAATCTGCAGTTCAGTGTTGGGGGAAGAGATAGATTAGATTAGACTGAGTTTGCAAAGTGTTTAAGTACCCTTTGGGAAACAAGACATCATAAAAATGCAAGGTTCTGTATTATCATTAAAGTGATTAACTGAGTTACCATTAAAATGCAGCAATATCCAACAGGCTGGGAGTTTGTCCATCTGTTTGTCAGTTAGCAGAATGCTCATTTTACAGAAGCTGAGCTTGAGCCATTTTTTAAGTATGCAACCTCAAATGTCCAGCATACATCGAAGAGGTATAAAGATGACCCTGCCTGGATATGCTAGCATAGAAAAACATAAGGGACCTAACTGCCTTCTGAGCTGGGAGAAGCACTTAGGTTACATCAAACCTTTATAACAGAGGGAAGTGGGATCCAGCACATAAATGTTAAAGAGGATAGGAGCCAGCGTGGAGTGCTGAGGAACACCACAGTTTATCTCATCGGGCTCAAACAGAGCATTATCTAACAAGAAAAACTGAGCACAGTCAGAGAGGAAAGGTTTAAACCACTCAAGTGCAGTAGCAGAAAACCTATGTATGCCTTAAGATGGTCTGTGATCTTGAGAGGCCAGAATAATTTGAACAATTAGAAATAAGAGGCAGCCAGCAGCCAGCCTCATGATACAAATAGCAAATGTCGTGGTTTAACCCAGCTGGCAACTAAGCACCACGCAGCCGCTCGCTCAGCCCCCCCTCCCTCGGTGGGGTGGGGGAGAGAATTGGGAAGGAAAAAAGAAAGGTTAGAGATGAGGGCTGAGATAAAGAGAGTTTAATAAGAGAAAATAATAATAATAGTAATAATGAGAATGGTAACAGAATATACAGAATATACAAAATGAACGATGCACAACGCAATTGCTCACCACCCGCCGACCGATGCCCAGCCCGTCCCGAGCAGTGATCAGTCCCCAAGCAGCGATCACTCTCCCTGCAACCGACCGACTGACTACTCCCCCCAAGCATGATGTTCTATGGTATGGAATAGCTCTTT